GGGGGGGGGGGGGGGGGTGTTGGGGCTGGGCCCTCCAGGCCCTTCCCCTGGATCCGCCACTGGTCTAAGGCAAAATTAAAAGTCGACTCTACGGCTGGTTTTCTTTAAACAAACGTATTGTGTTTATAAAACTGAAGTATTTAACTTAATTGTAATGACCAGTGAACGTTAGAAACTGAAATACTTAAACAAACTTCAGCGAGAAACCGAATTCCGAGAAACATAATACCAACTAACAATGATCATAAACAGTGGCAGTGGTTTGATTTCCTTGTCATCCGTCACTGAATTTTTTTATTCAGTTAAGGATCTAACTGCAATTGATCACTCATATTAAGCAGGTTTTTGAAAGCCTTACTTCGCTCGAGTCTCACATCAGTCATTGTTACTCAACAGGAACGTTTTCTGTCGCTCAAAATCTTAAGAACAGCCGTTGAAAAATTATTTTCCTTCCCTTAATCTTGCTATCCCTATTTTCCTTTCAGTATTTTCGTTCCTGTTGTAGTGTGACTTTCGGGCTTGTCGGAGCCCCAAAACACTCGCGTTTTGGCCATATTCCCGTCAAAAGGCCGCTATTTTGGTGGCTATAGCGTTTTCGTAAATCCTGCTACCCTTCCTTTTATAGGCCTAATCTGTTTTGCAGAGCTTTTAGCTAAATTGGCTTCCTGCATATTTAGTCTGTAGCATTTGGCTTCGTCGTGGGAATCATCTAATATAGTTAGAAAGGTAAGATTAACCCCGACGACTTTTGTCAGTAATGTTGTATCAGTTACGGTGATTGCGTGCTTGAGCCAGGAGCTTTTCCTATGTTTGGCCAATTATTCGGACTTCCCGGCCAGACCGGGCGATTAGAGATTTTTTGAGAAAATAGTCATTACAGTACGTTTACTTGTGCTTAAGCTTCAAATATAGTGAATTTGCTTTCACCTAACCGATCAAATTTGAAGATCTCTGAATAAAGCGTATACTCTGGTCCCACAGGTTTTCCTTGAAATTTTTCTTCGCGTTCGCGAGAGAGCGAGCCCCAAGCGGCGACAACAAGTCGAGTTATCGCCGCTTCGTGACTTCCTCTCTCTTTGGCGAAGAAAAATTTCAAGAAAAACCACTGGGACCAGGGTAAAAAAGCATAGTGACAAAACATAGATTTAAACCGTGAAATTCTTCATTTAATTACTTTAACCGTTTTGTCACCTAGAGGGACATTTTTATACATCCCAGGATCACCGGGCCGGAAACAGAATAAATAAAGTGCAGATGTTGTGATTTTAAACTGCTCTCGGGCTATTGTCTAGCCTCCCGCGCAGGCGTTTTTAGGGGAGCTCGCATTTCTTCCCTCCCCACAACAGAGGCTAGCTATTGCCTCGCGTGCACTCAAACCTGGAACCAGGACCGAATAATGCGAGTCCGGGCCAAAAAAATGGGTATATTATAACGTCATCTAACTATTCAAAATGGCGTCCACATTAAATGGACAAGATACTGAGTCAATTCTTAGCTAAATACTAAGCCTTGAAGAGCACTTTTCCATCTAAAGGAATTTTTTTTTTCCACTGGACTGGCACCCAGGGGCGGAAGGTGAGAACCTAAAATATACGTAGCGTAAAGCATTTCAAGAGAAAATGCCAATAAGGGCTGCGATGGTGTCGTTTTTGCTATTACGACTAGGATCCTTTTTGTTTTCCCCTTCCGTCTCTAAATTTGGTAATCCCAGCGAGGTTTAAATAAGTCAAATGACAATAGCCCTAATTTGCAGAAGAAAGCGAAACCCTGAAGGATTCTGGTCGTGGTAGTAAAATGGCGTCATAGTTCAAAGATTACTCAAGTGTGCCCTTATTGTCACGTGATTTCATTCCGATCTCGAATGAATGAAGTAAAAATTATCAAGAAATGGTTTTGTAGTCTTTTCGCCATTCGCATATCTCCCATAACTCACCTTGTCTTATCCCCCCACCCGCCCCCTTACAAAAATGTGCGTAACCCTTATTTTCCATTTCTCCTGGGTACTACAACCGTCCCAAGAGAAACTGAAAACAATTCTTATGCAAAATTGGGGGCAGGCATCATGGGGCAATTTGGGAGATGTGCGAGTGGCGGATGTAATGCCTGTAAACTGTAATAAACAAGAGCCCTGTTATGGATCTACAATAAAGATCAGTTTAAACCCTTTTTGGGTTTTGGCCCGCAAGTGTATAGTTCCGCAAATATTTCTCGACCGTAAAAGATTCGCAAATATATGATCCTGAGACTGAAAGAGAAAATGAGAATGGCTCGTACCCAGATCATTCCACGACGGTCAACTCGTCCCAGTGCTTTTCCTCGAAGGAGGGAGTGGAAAAATCACTGGTCAGCGGATAATTTCAAGAGGGCAAATTAAAATGGCGGCCGTCGAGGAAAAAAAACACAAACACAACATTTGGTGCGTACACTATAATGAGCAATTCTGTTGCTGATTATGGTTTTGAAGTTTTTGGCAAGGGGCGTTACTTTTGAATAAGGCTAACGATAGTTTTATGCCGTTAAATTTTAGCATGGTTTCCGATTTCTTTTACCCAAACATGGGCGGAGTGGAAAGTCACATCTATCAATTAGCGCAGTGCCTTATACAGAGAGGACATAAGGTGAATTCTTATATTGTTTAACCAGATTTTGCGACTGCTTAGCTAAACTACAAAGTACAGGGGTTCTCAGAATTCTTAATTTAAAGACGTTTTTTGTTTTGCTAGTGGCCAAATAAAACGAGCCTTGAGAAGCGCGAAACTCAGCTCCTGGCTTTTTTCTTGTCCTGTTGATCAGATAGGTTACCTTAAATCCTTATAAATTATCCACCTATCCTAAGGGGTTGCTTTAAAGTGGCAGGGTATTCTGCAGTTAAGTCCTCATTAATCAAGTTCCTGTTAAATCAGATAAACTTTACTACGACAGTAAAACACCCTGGCTAATGTTTTGGTTCCCAGGTTGTTGTGGTCACACATTCTTATGACAAGAGAAGTGGAGTTCGTTATTTAACCAACTATCTCAAGGTACATATAAGAATGATTATATTAAAAAAAAGATACAACCTTTCCCATGTGTGGTCTCCCTGGCAGCTGTTTTTTGGATGTCATGCAATGCTGCCCCAAAAGAACTGTTCTTTTGGGGGAGCATTGTGTGACATCTAAAAAACGGCTGCCAGGGAGACTATCCTATGTGTGACTTTAATTAGAATCGTAAGGCTGGGATAACAACAGAGAGAGAAGGGTGTGGCGGAGGGGGAAGGGGGAGGGGACAAACTACAAAACACTCTCTGGGGAAGAATAGATATTTTCTTGATCTGCAACCACAATGGTAAAGACTTACTGAGATGCTGACACACCTTGTTTAAAAATCTAAGATAGTGTTTAGCGGTTTCCTTTCAGGCGTATTTTGGAGCGCGATCCATGATTTGATTTCAGGATTGACGTTGTCCCGCCGTTTTGGACGTTAATACTACCAGAGAGCTGGGATGAGTCAAAAACTGATTTTAAGGGAGAGTTTGACGCACGCCCCTCCTCCCTTTGTCTTTTCCTTTGCTTTTCATCATTTTAGTCATGTGATGCATACAATCCCAAAAAACAGGGATAACTCCTGCAACTGCAAACCAATATTGCCAAATCATACAAAAGTCATTTTGGTGAGCATTCATAACAACTTGCATTTTAGAGCATCCAATTTTCAAAATTTCTAGTCGTCCCTAGAAGTTCATGCCTCCTGTACTCAACTTTTCTCACGTGTGGCACCAATGGTGAAAGCCCGTCAGCTGAATCCCTACATCTGGTAATTCTACAATATAAATGCTACCAAAAACCCTGTGCGTTTTATGCTTGGGAGATAAACTGCAGAAGGTTTTCAGTAGCATTTACAAGATTAGGATTGTTTCTTTGAGACCTTCCAGTTATCTACAGCAGCTACAACTCCCTGCCCCTTTCATTTAGGAAGTTATATTCATGGGCCAGGCCTGTGCTACTTGTGGAGTATGTGGTGAAAATTAAGCCCAGTCTGCCCTCCCTCTGGGGGCCTGTTTACAGACTCAGTATTCATAACAACTTTATTTGCTGTATTTAAGGTTTATTATCTTCCCTTTGGTACTTTTCATAACCAATGTGCATTACCGACCCTCTATACAACACTGCCATTAATGAGATGTATATTTCTTCGGGAGAAGATTACAATAGTACATGGACACTCAGTAAGTCTTCAAATGATCATTATTATTTTTTGTTGATGTTTTTTTGTTAATAATGAGAGCCCCTTGTGACATACATTGTATCATTGATAAACTGCAAGATTCTCCATTGCTTTGTCTGCATTTGTAAATTACAGGGAGAATTTCACATTTGATTTGATCAAGAATCACTAAGGGCCTTATTCATCTGTTACTTAGTATATGTATCTTAATAGGGATCAACATGAGCATTGCTCATTCGATTTTTTGTGGGAAAAGAACAGAACCTGTACATAATAAATGAAACTGATCTGGTATATGTCATCATTTATTATTGACTGATCAGATAGTTCAAAAGCAAAATTAGTATAAATAACCTACAATTGTAGTATAGAAAAATTATTCCTTTTATAGCCTGTAACCATGGTTAGGTTGCAATCTGTTTCCTCTGTTTTGTTAGTTGCGAGGCTACTCAAAGCTATCATGATCATACATTGCAGGCCAGAACTAAGTGAATAAAAAATATATGCATAATGCACAATGTACGCATTTGGAAATATACGTACATGTGTCAGGCTGGATGCATAGATGAGTCTGAGCTGATGCACATGCATGTCTCAGGTCTAATGTGTCAGTTAAAAACCAAGCACTGATGCATTATGATATAAAACTAATGTACTTGCTTTGCATCTGCATTGTTCACTTACCAGTAATAATTCTTGTCTGCAGGGTAAAGAGCTTTTAAACAACAGAATTAACTCATTCAAGCATGTTGGTTTACTTTGATGAATTGATTGATCAATTCATCAAAGTAAACCAACAGTTAATTAATGATCATTAATTTTAAGTCTCGTACATTCAGTGTTAAAGCTTCTCTTTGACTGGTGGCACTTTGGAATTTTGCCCCAAAACCGGTCATTGACAAGTAGAACCTACATGAACAGTTATAAAGTAATATGGATTTTTGGGATAAAAGGATTTTACCCCTGTTTGCCTTTGGTTTTTTTGGGATAAAAATTCTTTTTGCAAGTAACTTACTTGTACATGTACATGTATCTGCCATTCATTGTTTTCACTTCTTTTCAAGGCGTTTTCTACTTTATGTCATGATGCACTTCTTCATGCTCGCACTATGGGACTCCATACTCTGTTCACAGACCATTCTCTCTTTGGCTTTGCTGATGCAAGTTCCATCATTACCAACAAATTTTTACAGTTTTCACTGGCAGACATTGATCATGTGATATGCGTCTCACATACAAGGTTTGTAATTCATGGAATTTCGCTGTGCATTTGAGAGGAAGAGGCTGTACCTCTGGCAGGGTGTACATGTACCCTTCAATTGGGTGTGGTTTTAGACTTTGCATTCTGACAGTAAAGTTTGCCAGGACTTGAAAAAAGTCCTGTCTGTCCTGTCTGGGTATCCAAGTAGATTTTCTTGTTGGCAATTAACTTTTAATCCTCATTTGCTCAAACAGCAGACCATCCAGGTTCAGGCAAGTTACATGTAACTTCTAGCTAAATCATAAACTGTGACAAGAGTAGAAAGTAAAATTTGTATGCTTGTTGTCCTAAGAACAAACTTAAATTCAAAGTTTCTTCAAGCTCAAATTTTACTCTTTTGAAATGCAATGAAAGGGTTATCACCTTCCATGACGAAAGCTGCTAGACACTAAAATCTAACAATCTATCACTAAATGCTCAGAATGGCAGTTTTCTCAATCTTTTTGTGGTGAATTATTTGCTTTACCAGCTTGCTAAAATACAATGTTTGGACACGGCAAATGGGTGTCGTGTAAATAAAATAATGTATTGTTTTTTCTGTAATTTGGTTGCCTTTGTTTAGTAAAGAGAACACAGTGCTTCGTGCTTCTATGAATCCTCGTATGGTGTCAGTAATTCCTAATGCTGTTGATGCTGATGTATTTACTCCTGATACTTCAAAGAAAACCAAAGGAAAAAGTGAGTTTTATTGCAATTGTTATTATGCCTGCAATGCAAGTGTAATATCCAATTACTTAGGCATGATGCATTGTGTCCTATTAGTACATGTACGCTGTCCGGACGCTGTCTGAAATCAAGAATTTTTTTAATAATACCAAAGTTTAAATTACAGGGATAATAATATGCATTTACATTTACAATAATTTTGATTGCTGCCTAACTTTATATTCAAAACTTCAACCAAAAAGACACATCAACCAGCTTTATCTTATGCAACTGACAAGTTACTCTAGTTTCAAGACTTCATTAAAAAAATACTTTATTGAGAGAGCTATAAATTAAAATCACCCGACCATGATATGGCAGCTTACATTAAATCATAATTTAGTATGAGGAGCCCAATTTTTCAAGCTATTTAGCTTCTATTGGGCTTCCTTGTCACTTGATCTATTACATAGTTAAGTCTGTTAATGTTACATTTAATTTTGAACTATGTTTGTAGTTTTTCCTGTCCTGTAAATTTGCATCTTAGGAATATTTTTATTTCCTTTTTCTTTCTGTAATATTTATTCTATGTGGCAAATGTAAAATACATAAATAAAATAAATTATAGGGGTCAGTCAGCCAAATCTAATATACTTTTATTTGTAATAACATCTATTACAATTTAAACAAGTGTAAAATAACTACAAATTTACAGTGCCATAGTCAAAGGTTAACATTAAAACTGCTTTAATTTGTTTTAGTTACCATTGTTGTTGTCAGTCGACTGGTTTACAGAAAGGGTATGGATCTATTAGCAGGGATATTGCCTGTTATGTGTTCCAACCACTCAGATGTGCAGTTTATCATCGGTGAGTTTCCAAGAAGTCATTTTGGAGTGGCAAATGGTGTCTAGATGGTGATGGATCAGTGTGATGAGAAGATTGTTGGGACAGGGCAAAAGATAATTATGTGAGCAGGAAAAACAGTGAAGGGGCAGGTCAAAGTTTTCTTTCCTGCTCTTCCTCCTTATTATTATTTTTGTTTGCCATTCCATCTGAATTTGCACCACACTCCACTATCTGAATGCCTGTAACAGGCTACTAAGTGATCAGATACTACAGTTTCCCTCAAAAATTAACTTTTCAAATTCAAGCAGGAATGGCAGACCAGTATGTAAAAGTACTACCTGAAAATCATTGTATATTTATTTATTTATTTATTTCAATACCTCATCTGTGGTATTTGAGTTCTCATGGGACACCAGACATGATGTTCTGTTTGGTTCTATTGTTTCTTACCTGTTACATAAACATTTACTGTATGATTTTCAGTAATTATAATTTCTTTGTTATTGTTTAGGTGGTGATGGCCCAAAACGCACTCTCCTTGAAGATGTTTGTGAGCAATGTAAACTTCAAGACAGAGTAGAGTTTTTAGGCAAGTTGGAACATGAAAAAGTTAGAGATGTGAGTGTACCTTACGGTAATCATGTTGAAATTTTACACTGCCATAATATTGATTGCAAAACATCACTCGCAAATAGGTAATAGTATTGTCACCATCTGCGAACAATTCCTATACTACAAATTAGATACGGGAGACCCAGTCCAAGGCATTGAGAAAGGGGAACTTCTAGCAGGGCTGCAAATATCAGTCTTTCATCGGACATTGGCCGACCAAAATTTGCTAGTGTCTNAGTTTATCATCGGTGAGTTTCCAAGAAGTCATTTTGGAGTGGCAAATGGTGTCTAGATGGTGATGGATCAGTGTGATGAGAAGATTGTTGGGACAGGGCAAAAGATAATTATGTGAGCAGGAAAAACAGTGAAGGGGCAGGTCAAAGTTTTCTTTCCTGCTCTTCCTCCTTATTATTATTTTTGTTTGCCATTCCATCTGAATTTGCACCACACTCCACTATCTGAATGCCTGTAACAGGCTACTAAGTGATCAGATACTACAGTTTCCCTCAAAAATTAACTTTTCAAATTCAAGCAGGAATGGCAGACCAGTATGTAAAAGTACTACCTGAAAATCATTGTATATTTATTTATTTATTTATTTCAATACCTCATCTGTGGTATTTGAGTTCTCATGGGACACCAGACATGATGTTCTGTTTGGTTCTATTGTTTCTTACCTGTTACATAAACATTTACTGTATGATTTTCAGTAATTATAATTTCTTTGTTATTGTTTAGGTGGTGATGGCCCAAAACGCACTCTCCTTGAAGATGTTTGTGAGCAATGTAAACTTCAAGACAGAGTAGAGTTTTTAGGCAAGTTGGAACATGAAAAAGTTAGAGATGTGAGTGTACCTTACGGTAATCATGTTGAAATTTTACACTGCCATAATATTGATTGCAAAACATCACTCGCAAATAGGTAATAGTATTCTCACCATCTGCGAACAATTCCTATACTACAAATTAGATACGGGAGACCCAGTCCAAGGCATTGAGAAAGGGGAACTTCTAGCAGGGCTGCAAATATCAGTCTTTCATCGGACATTGGCCGACCAAAATTTGCTAGTGTCTGACGAAATCTCACCAGCGTTCGGATATTATGAGTGGAGAATTGAAAACATGTTGTCGCTCAAATAATTAATTCTGTAGATGACTTTGGAGCTGTTGTTTTTATCTTGTATATCCACAGACCTTGTAAGTATTGTCTTTATTTTTGGTTCTATCCTTTTGGCACCTTTAAATACCTTTCTCGTGTATTTGTTTATGTATCTGTTTAGTTTTCACTGAACGAACCATCATGTTGTGTCGTGATAGCGGGTTACATTATTGACAAACTACGTCGTGTATACTAATATCTATTGGTTGCAGTTTGCTACCATTCTGTTTTAACCCAATCGAAATGTCTGTGCTTTAATTGTCCTCTACCAGTCTAGATTATCTTTAACAGAAATTCTGACAGCAATATAATAATGTTTTTCTAGGTTCTTGTCCAAGGTGACATCTTTCTTAACACTTCACTCACAGAAGCGTTCTGTATTGCCATTGTTGAAGCAGCTAGTTGCGGGTCAGTAACAGTGTCTGTCAATTTTCAAGTACTGTACTCAGTGCCATTGTGCTTGATAAGTTTGTTGTTAAATAGTTGGAATGCCTGTTTACTCTCCTACAGCTGTACTTTCGATTTGATGTGGTGGCTGGGATGTCTGTTTACTCGCTCATCTTTCATTTGATAGGGCAAGTGGGATGCCTTTTTTCTAACTTTTCGTCTTTGTCCCTGGAATTTTATGCAGTCTTCAGGTTGTCAGCACCAGAGTGGGTGGGGTCCCTGAGGTTTTACCTAGCGACATGATCAAAATGGCGGAACCAAGTGTTAAATGTAAGTTAGGGCGATAGTTATAGAAGTATTATTTTATCTGTTAAATCCCTTTACATAAAACACGCTAGTGTACAATACTCTTAAATGTCAGATTCTGTTTAAGCACTTGCCACTCGGAGCTAATGGTTTCATGATTATAGCGTCCGCTTCCCGTATTTATGACATACAGAGCCATTATCACGCATTTCGCCTGTTTTCGCGGATTGTCTAGACTCTCAACATTGGTAATTTTCTTAATCAAACTGTCTCTTGTATTTTTTCAAACAAGGTAATCTTCAGAAATCATTTCGCACAGACACATGGAAACCCTTGTGCTCACCATTATTCTATCAAACGACAATGCGTTGAATCAAACTCTTTCCAAAGTTCAAATAATAATGCGTCTCCATAATAAAACGTCCATAGTATTTAGAATTACCTGTTTCTTCTGGCGTGGAGATTGACCCTTCAGCGCCTGTATCTAAATATTAGATATTTATTATTTACAGATCCCTGTTTTGTTTAGCTTGGAATGGAAAAAGCGATCTCCCAGTCCTAAAAACTTATCATGCAATGCTACACACATTGACGGGTGAGGATTTTTCACTTTTTATGTATCAAATATTTCAGCTCTTTTAGTGGCGTTGGAAAGCGCTGTTCAAGACGCGCGTGACAACAGAGTGGTTCCAGCCGATGAGGCGCATGAACGCATAAGAACCATGTATACGTGGCAGAACGTGGCCAGGCGTACGGAAGTAGTAAGTGACACATTGCACGCGTTGTAAACTTAAAAGTTTCAATTTTATTTCAGGAAAATTTACAAACCTTCTCTATCCGCAAA